TACAGAACCCTATCATAGATCCCTTATAGAACCCTTGAGGGATCCCTTTAAAGGAACCCTATTCTAAGTATTAAGGCCCCTATGTTAGGGCCCTTCATGGTGGGTGGACTTTTGTTGCTTGACTGGACGGTTTGCGGTTTCAGGCTTTGCTAGTACGGCTTTTGGTTTCAGGGTTTGGGGTTTAGGGCTTTGGGTTTAGGGTTTGGGGTTTGGGGTTTAGGGCTTTGGGTTTTAGGGTTTAGGGTTTAGGGCCTTGGGTTTTGGGGTTTAGGGTTTAGGGGTTTGGGTTTCAGGGTTTGGGGTATAATTCCTGTTGTATCGCCTGAATTTTCGCGAAGGGTCCAGGACTGGTGAGGACATACAAAGTACTTGCCCCAAACGTTCCAGCCAGAAAGTTTTCGGGAAGGGCATTCTGAGTCTGTCGGAGTTCTTGGTTTGGGGATGTTCACGATTTTGTGCGGGTTGCAGGACGTTCGTAGGAGTTCGCAGGGCAACCCTAAACCCTTCACCCCAAACCCAACTAAACTTCCTAACCCTAAATCTTTTGCTAGGTTCTTCAGGGTGTGATTGGGTTTGGTTTAGGGCATGGGGTTTAGAGTGGGGTATGACCTTTAGGTAGGGTTTATGCTTTGCAATGTTTGAGGTTAGTGGGGGCGAAGGCCTGAGGGATGCATCTTCCGATACCAATAGCCATCCCCACATATCTACTATAGGGGCCTCAACAACTAGAATAGGGTTTTGAGAAAAATAAGGAACCCTGAGAAAGAATATCTCGTTATTCAAGCTTTTATGTTAGACTGTGGGTTGCAGGTCGGCATAGCTTCGTTTGGACACAAGTGGTCGCTGCAACAATGCATCTTTGCAGGCCTCAGCTCCCATATCTTGGACACACAAGAATTTAGTTGTCCATTATTCTAAAGGAACTAAAGGTTAAACGTTGTGATTTTGTAGGGGTTCTAGTCATAATACCTCAAAATGTAAAAGGTTAGCTGCTCTACTACCAAGACAAGTGTCCGTCTAAGGTCTCAAGGTCACATGTCTATGCTTCCATCGTCAGACTCAGATGTACTTTCCCAGGGTCTGCTCAGTTCACGGATTCGTTATGCTACGACTTCCATGTGTCATCATCAGCTCGCTTGCCAGCCGGCTTATTGCCTGTGCGCTCGGCATGGGCAGATTTCTGAAATTGCCATGCGTCAGCAGATTTTTCCCCACACCAGTAAATCAAGCTCAGCGTGATCCACGAGGATGCATATTGCTACTGGCATCGGGGGTTTCATGAATGTATTGCTCTTTCCGACCTACACTGACTAGACGACCTCAATACAGCGGCTGTCGAGGCCCGAAGTACATGACCATGACTCTGACATCGATACCAACAGCAGACTACTGAGTCCTAACCCTAAACCCTAAACCCCAGGCTCGGACCCTGATACTCCCTCCAGCCGGAGCGCAGCGGCAAGCTGCAGCGTGATGCCTTGGAGATGAAGCTTCACTAGGGGGCCTGCACGATTTATGGCTTCAGGCACACCGGGTGAAGCAGCATCCGGGATGGTGTTCTGCTGCCTATAGTGGAAAAACTTCGTTGCAAACTAATGAAGTCTTCGCCACATTAGTTACCCTTTAGTTGGGACCTCAGGCCTAGAGGCAGCATAGCCCTTTATCTCAAACTCTAAACCCTATCCCTATAGCCTATCCCAAATGAATCGGCGTACTAAACACCCTCATCAAGGAATGCGGCCAACTGATGGAGCCACAGACCTAGAACTTGGAGCAAGCTTTGGTTCAGGGTTTGAGGGTTTAGGGTTAGGGTGTACGGCTTAGGGTTTAGGGGGAGTTGGGTTTACGCTCTGCCGTTCTGGAGGTCGGAGCTTAGACCAGACGTGAGAATGTTCCTGCAAGGCACCGATGAAGAGCGCATTGCTGAGGAGCGCGACGGAGAAGACGGCTTCAAAGCGGCTGGAGTCCACGATGCGCTCCCTCAAGTTGAGGTCATTCACAACTGTGCGATGACCATAACGACAGGAATGACGCAGCCCCTAAATCCTTTTTTGCATTCCTAAACCCTAAACCCCTAAACCCCAAACAGGACACCGCTGCTCTTGCAGATGCGAACTGTGATGAGTTGCGGCTGTCTAAACAAGAAAACACAAGCACTGCAAACCCCAGCCATACTAATTGTTATCTTCCTAGTCAAAATACGTATTATCATGCTAGTCATAGCCCTTATCGCCCTAATGAAAACAGTCATAGTTACTCATGATTCATCATCAGATTACGGGTTTTCTTATGAAAACGTGTATAAGCTTTTTTGGGGCCTGCTCATGTCCGGCCAGCACTCGGCACTGAAAGGGTTATTCAGGCGTAGGGCAACCGGCATATGCATAATAACTAGTTACAGCTACTATGTACTCTTCAGGGTTTCGTCCCTAAACCCTAAACCCTAAACCCTACACCCTAAACCCAAAACCCAAAACCCATGTATGGCTATTGTATGCTATTGTACAGTATACCCAAAGCTCCTGCGCCTGGTTTCCGGAACGAGATGCTGCTGCTATGGGCTTCGGCTTAAGTTTTAGGGTTTTAGTGGTTTATAAGGTTTAGGGTTTTAGGGTTTTCACCCTAAACCCTAAACCCTGTTCTTCAATGCCACATGTTTCGTATGAGTGAGTTAGCTAGCGAAAAATGCGAAGGTTGGGATGGGCTGTTGGCTGGAGGTCTGAGTGCGAGCAAGTGACAGCTCACGCGAGATCTTGCCGCCAAAATTCTTGTCGACCTCGAAGGAATTCTCCAACACCTGAGGATTGCTTGTAATTGGGAATTTCCGTGATAGTCCAGGTTTCACTGCTAAGGATCTAGGATCCCGAACAGAAGGGAATTGGAACAGCCCCGTCCAAATGCAGTCTCACCCCAAAGAAGCAGTCATGACGACGCAAAATACGACTAGTCAAAAAGACAGAAAGTCAATGATCAGGAGGATGATTGATAACATTAGAACTGAAGTCGCTAGCTTGCATGCTTAACAGTGATATAGCGACAACATACCTGGACCCTGGATTGCGGCACCTTGCGCTTGTCACCTATTCATGGTTAAGAACTCAGATAGACAAAAGAGTCGGACTAAAAAGTCCTGCAATCCACGGTCGAGAGTCTAGGATGCTATGCGACACCTCAGGTCTCCTCAACAATATTGGGCTACTAGCTTATGCAATGTAAGACCAGTTGCCCAACTAGACCCTAAACTGGGTAGTTAGAGCTCCAAGTACCCTAGGAGCCGACACACCAAGGCGCCTTCGATCCCTGTCGTTCCGTCCATTCCTTGCGTATCTTGGACTTCTCCAGAGCCACCTTCTCGTGCTCTTCCTTTGCTCGTTCTGCCCGCGATGGTCAGGGGTTCGGGCGATTCGGGTACACAGTTAAAAAAATCGTTTTTGTGAATTTGTTGAGGATTTTGGGGCTTGGGTTGTGCGGGGGATTCGAAATTCAATGCGGTGACAAACCCTTTTCGGCACGGTCTCTCGGAGTATGGCGGAAAACTGAGAAACCTCAAGGCCTTCACGAGAAGCAAACGTGAAACTGAACTCATCGCACATCACCTATATGTGACAGACCCTAACCCCGAATTCCGTAAACCCTCAACCTCTACACCCGAATGCCCTAAACCCTAAACAAATGCCTAACAGCCTTAGCTGCAAGAACCGAGGTCGGCAGCGCCAGGACCCAGCAATGCAGAAAACATACAACTCTGCGATTTTACATGAACTACAAAAAACTACTTTGTTGCAGGGCCCCTTATAAGTTCTGTATTGGGTTTATATAATAAGGACCTACAGAACACAGGTTATGGTAGTTTAAGGTCGCGTCTCGGCGCTCACACTCGGACAAGCGTTTGGGGTTTACAGGTATGTTTGCCTAGCTTTTTTCGGCTATAGATTTTCCGGCTCTGGGTATATGACACATGGACTCAGGGCCCCTGTATTGATGGGGTGATTCTGTGGTTCTTCGTAAGACACGACGCTTCGGCCGAGGAGCGTCGTCCAACACCTTGCTCTTGCCGGGTATCATTGTCGGCATGGCAGGCCTGTGACCCGAGAACTGTCGTAAAACATTGCGAGATAATGATGCAGGCATATGGGTAGTTGTCTAAATTAGGGTCCCTTTTGTGGTCCTTATTATAATGCGGCACCCATTATTTAGGGTACCCCAAAAGAAACCNNCATAATTTTGACAACTACCCATATTCCGTCAGACCAAGGATGACAGAAAGAACACCGGGAGGTTCTGCATGCTCATCGTCTTGCGAAATCGTGCTTCCGTTCTCTTCCTTTTGGCTTTGGGTGCTCCGATTGCCCTTGGGCGGTGCTCGTGTGGCGACTGCCGTATACTGCCGTGCTCTTAGAGTACTCGTCGTGGTCGTAGACTTTTTGGGGACGCACGGGCATACTAGACAAGGACAACACCCCAGCACCTGCTTCGCTCGGTGTTCTCGGCCAGCATCAATCTGGCGATGGGGTCCTCCGTGCTGGAGATCCTTTGACAGGTTTCGGGATTCGTGACTAAAACCAGCAGGCTCTAGACAGCGACCTCTGAGGACCAGCAAGAGTCGTGGCAGTGCTGGCTGCTAGCTAGCTTACATACCGTTCTCCGGCTGCATAGATCACCAAACAGAACCTTCAACAGCGGCAGTAAAAAACGATGCAACAAGAGCATGCATGACCTGCTCTGCGCACACCTATAACAACAACTACTACTAAACCTACCAAACGAAAATTTTACCAACTGTAGAAACTGGAGGCTGCGTTTGCAAACCAAGAATTCGTCTGACTCTTGCTGCCCAGTCACTCGATGTGGGAGTGTCGCCTGGGATGCCAGAGTTCGAGTTGCGACACGATCAGCAGTGACACGGCAGCTTTCGTGCTCCAGGCGTCACCAACAGCCAGCGACTCCCCTGGAAAAAGGCTCTTCATGGCAAATCCCCCTGCCCCGAGTTCCTTCCACAGCCAACCCCATATTTTAAACGGAACAAGCTTTCTATGCACCCGCGGGTGTGCCTCTCGGAAGGTGCATGGCTCGAAGAGCTGGGTCGGCCTTTGCATCGGCTTAGGGTTTAGGGGGTATTCGAATTATAACTTTTAGAGGGCCCTTTATACGGTGCTGCGCCGTTTTGCCGGGTTTTGAAAGAGCTTTATGGGGCTTTGACGGCTTCGTATTGTGAGTGAGGGCTTGATAGAAAGCTCCCGTGTCATACCAGGGCTTTACAGAGCTCTTGTGGGCAATGTTTCGTAAGGCTTGTGTGAGGCTTTGACGGTATTTAGTAAGGGCTGTTTAGGCTGTACTGAAAGTTTCTATTGTAAGGGCTTTGAAATTGTTGGTTCATGGAGTAATCGAAATAAGAAAGAACGTACGTGGGTGTTTACAGAACAGGAAAACGAAGAATTACAGGGGT